TGTGTAAATAACTAAGATTGTAAATCCCTTGAACAACAACAACATGCGCACAAAAAAAAACCCAAACGCACAAAATATGCATCCCTCAAGTGAAACATGAGGTTTCTGTTTTTTCTTTTTGCTTGATGAAAGCCAGGATTTTGTTTGTATAGATGCTCTTAAGATTTGTAACCTGTGCAATATGTCAGTGTATATATGAAAGACGATTAAATGGATCACACCGCAGCCTGTGCTTCATGTTCTGTTTGCATGTAGGACTCTGACCACCTGTTACTGTCAGAATCATCACAGTTGTCATGGAGATGTGATTCTGTGTCACTGCTATGCCACAGAGTCCAGTTACTTGATCCTGCTGCCCACCTGCCTTTGGCCTTTTCTTTTTTTTTGCCTACATTTTGTAGCCAGGCTGTAGACAGAGAGGGAGGTACTGTCATTGTGAAAGATTCAACTCTATTTTAGAGCTTTAACAGTGAAATGATGCAATTTCAGTTCACTCTATTGTTGCCGATTTGCTTATATTGTAGGTGTTCTACAGTCATGGACAGTCAAAACAAGGATGGCAGCAGAGAGTCTTATGAGCTCAAGGTATTAAAAATCAGTATGTGTAGAAAGATTGCCTTTTTATGTAGTTCTAGTTTCCCCTGATTTCTCTGTGTTTCCCAAACACCAGCATCAGTCCATGATTTTTCATTAACCATTGCCAAATCTAAATGGTCCTAGACTTAAGTGTTACTTAAAATAACATGAACACTGAAAGAATTTCTGAAACTCATCAGGAAACAACTGCTCTTTGTCAGAAAGACTCAAGAACAGCTCCCAGTAAAGTTCTACATCACAAATGAATTGGAACAGTAGCTGGGCTAGGCTCTAGCTATGGGTCATGAATGATGGCTGAAATATTTGATTGCCTTGTGCATTTTTTTTGTGAAACCCCTCATGTACCAGTGTCTTTTGTGTGTCTTAGATTTCAGAGTTATTAAAGGGTTTAGCTGAGAGGAAAACATCACCCAATGAGAGCATTCATGCTAACATCAGCCTCTCCATCACAGAGCCAGGAACTTCTTACAACCATGGGAACTTCAGATCTAGAGCTGTCCTCCCTAAAAAACTCTGTCAGCTGTCCACGTGTCAGTATGAGAGGCAAGATCATCTGAGAGAAAGCTTCAGTGCTCCGGTACTCGTTCTTGCCTGCATCCCTGCATCTCAGGCGGGACAAAAGCAACCCACGTTATCATTCCCAGATCCAGTCCTCTTTGCACACCTGGTGGAAAAATCAGAGATCCTTGCCTCTGACTCAGTCATTCTTATCAGAGAACAGCTTGAAAAGCAAGAGATATATCCGTACATCCTAGGAGTGCAGGGTTGGAGGAAACTGGAGCAACGTGAACCACAATGTCTGCTGCCTAAACAGTTTCCCCAAACTGGTCAGTAAACAGTTGTAGCTGCAACTGTCACATGTAGGTTAGGGTGAACTAGGCTGAACAAGTTCACTGCTCTTAACTGCTCTAAGGTTGAATAGTAGCCATGGCTATTATGCAGTTACAGCTTAGTTAAGTGTGTTATATATCAGTATTAGTTGGGTGAACATCTAGATTTTGAGAAGTCCATTTTTTAATGAAAAACTGCAGGAGAGCAGTTTTTATAACTTTCCATACACTGACATACATTTGGTTAGCCACAAACCTAGGCAAAGATGCATACTTTATTGAAACTGACAAAAGAATATCTAAGATCTGAAAACTAGTTTCTCGTGGATTTTTCATGAGCAAATATTTTTTGAAAATCATAATAAATCATAATAAATTCGAGATGTTCAAATGTTTGTAAATTCCCAGTGAGATTAAGAATGGGAGATGATTCACATGATGGAACTCCAGACTTATCAAAAAATTGCAAATTTTTTAAAATAAAAATTGTAAATATTTTGATACATATTACTAGATCAGCGATAGATCCTTCACTGACTGTTGCTTCATCCTGGTTCAGGGACAACCAACAAATGGTTCTTCAAGGACTTACTGGACCTCCAGAGGAAGCTGTTTTTGGGTGCCTCAAAGAAATCTGGAGCCCTGAGGAAATCTCAGACACCTTGGAAAACTTCACACCACCAGTCAGAATGTTCTTCTTTAATGCTTAGGAAAGTTCAAGACTGACAGAAGAAATAAACTGCAAATGAAACGAGCACTAACACTCAGTGGCAGAGTGGTCATTGAGGCAAGAAATGTATAATTACGTGTCAGAATGGTACCATGTTCCATAAAGCATTCTGAGACTTGAAAAGCATAGTCCTAATAATATGAAATATCCACTAAAATCATTATTAGATATGCAGGAAATAAAGTTAGATACTTTTTTTCACCCAAAAAGTATAAATAAAATATGCAGATTTATAAAGACATCTCAGCACAAACATGTTTCTTATTGTTTCATGCAAAAATAATTTAAAAGTGTTTAGTGGCCAGGTTAATATGTCAAACAACAAAAACAGACATGGATTATATACTCAAATGCATCTTTTTCTGTGTATGACATTGTGAAACTGGCAAGGTTTACTTGTTACTTTTCAGCCAAGGCTTCAAAGGTTCTAATGAGAGCTCCAATAACAGTTAATTGTATTGGAGGTGGCGAGAGATCAAGCTGTGCAGATCTTGTGTAAAGTGGCGTACCTCAGCATTGTCTCCCTGTTTACCTTCCTCAAGAGTGACTTCTTGATACTCACCTGTCACCTGAGAACGTTTCTGGGTCTTTTTGTTTTTTTGTTGTTGTTTTTTTAGCCCTGCTTCTTTTTGTCCTCCGTTTGTCGGTTATTTTTAAGCACAGTACACACCACACCAATATATGCCACATTTTTAGCTAATAGTTCTTCAGGAATCAACTTTTTGGTGAATAAGTAATATTACACTGACTATCAATCTGTATTATCGTTTATGTTTTTGCAGATTTAACTAATGAATTGGAAACAAGTTATGTACTTTTACAGTAGGCTGCTAATAACAAAGAACCTAAAGATACAATTTAAAACTGTACTTATCTATTGTATGTAGAAGCAAATTACTTTTTTCATCCATTTTTATATATTTGAATGATTCATAGGTCAGTGTTTAGTGGTTTGAAAACATTAGTAATAAAAAGAAAACTGAAAATGGTCAGATTTATCAGCTTGACTGAAAATGTGTGGCAATATCTAAATAACATTTCTGAAAGACTTTCAGAAAGTTTGATAAGGATAGATCCATTCTCTTCCACTTATCTGGACTCAACAGACTCATAAGACACAAATTTTGAGCATAGTGAATCTTTCCACTTGGCACAGAAGCAACAGCTTATTAACATTAACCTGACGAAGAAATAGAAACAATTTTAGCTTTTACAAGGTCACCCAGTCCTGGTTAATTACAGGTAATGATATTGAGTCTCTCTCACTCTTACACACACACACACATAAATGACGCAAAGCAAAACAAATCGCCCATCATTTCCTACATGCCAACCCACCAGGTCTAGTGGTATATAACAGTCTTTTCATGTCAGACCTGCAGAGAATCCATCGACAGCAGTGCTGCACCTTGGTTTAGAACGCAAAGAGAGGAGCACTGCCGAAGCA